GTTAATGAATTTGAGCAGCCACTGATCTTTGAGGTTGCTAAATTCTACTGAAAATGCAAATGCTAATAGGCATCTGGAGTAAGGTGACAGGCCCTTTACTATTGCTTTCAGCACCAACAATGAATATTCCTGTGTGATGACAAGTGCTCTCCATTTAAATTGATTGTACGCAATATCAGTCCCTACTGAAGTTTTCAGGGCGCTATACAACTATACCCCATAACATTATAATCAAATAAACTGCATAATAAAAATAATTTAAATACAGCTTAAATATGGTCTAATAGACAACCTAGTTCCAGAATGTATTTTCTACAAGCCCCTCCAGAGGACTATCACCACTGGACTTGAAAGGTTATTAGGATACTACAATTACTACTAATCTGGTAAAGGCATTTCCAATTTTTATAAGATAGGTTCGCCTTTCATTACATGTTACATCCATATTCATATTCAGGATGTAACATGTTACAATCTGACCAGCAACTGCATGCCCCCCCCTCGCTGTCACAATTACAAAAAAAAAAAACGTGGCCGTGCGGGGCTCCACCTGCCCATCCCACGTCATTCATTCACAGCTTTCTGTGAATGGCAAAAACTACATCTCCTGGCAGCCTTTGGACCTGTTGGCTTGTAGTTTTCAATGAACTACCATAGTGCCCCACAATGCCGTGGTAGTTCATTGAGCCTTCCTCTCAGTAGTATCTGCCTGTTTGTACGGGACATACGAGCAAGCAGATATACTGACAGACCAGGGGGGAGACCTGCATGGCACTAGCAATCTGCTGATCACTGGTGCATTGCTTTAGAGGCTCCACAAACAAAAAATAATAAAAACGCAATTTTTTTACCTGCAAAAAAATGTGCCTTTATTATTTTTGTTAAAAGGTGAACTTATCCTTTAACCACCTTATCAAGGTACAACTTGGAGATGTAATACAGGAGTGTTTTGCCTCCTCTACCCCTAAATACTTTTTCACACTGGTGCCTGCTCAGTGGGGAATCTGATCCCCGCAGAGCAGATAGAGGACAGGTCTGTTTCCGCTCCACTTGTGCTCCATTTGTGCAGAGCAGACATTTGCACAGCCTGTTGTTCTTTCTGGGCCAATCGGATGTAAATGGACCACCTTTCCTTTTACATCCGAATGTCATCGACGGATGGGAATGGATCCCCCATCTGATCCAATCGGGTCTCCCTGATAAATGGACAGACAGACCCCAATTGGTCCGCCTGTGTGAAAGGGGCCTAAGAATGAGCTTTTTCAAACAGCGGTGGAGGTCTGATATACAGAAATCAGGAAACTGCAGGTAGAAATATTTCTAAAATATGGATATCTTCAGCCATCTGGGTGAAACGTATTCCTTTAAATGCAATATTTATAGGCAAACAGGAATTCCTAATGAATTAAAAAAGTCTAAAGAATATGTCTAAATAAAAATACAGATTCTTTGGAACCCTCAATCATCCTTTTATTATTAAGCTGTTTATGATATTTATAACTAACTCAAGACTATACTGTTTATTTTTTGCTGTGGTTCATGAGTACTACATCTATTACCTATGTAATACTGTAGATGTATATATTCCAAATTGGGCTTCACAAGGCTCATTAAGTAAATAAAATTTTTCTTTGTCGTCCTTGACTAAGCCAAATCTTCCTTCATATGTGTCTCACATGCTCCCCTTGTTAGACACCTCGACTCACAGTTGGAGGGTTTCAGCAAAAGAGGCAGTGCTGTCAATCTAGAAAGCAGTGGACAGGACAAGATGTAGCCATGTGTTGTTTTACAAGCCACATGCTTGTGAATCAGCAGTGACAATACTGATGGCCACACCTAGTGCAACATCTTCTCAATTCACAGATGTGCAAGCAGGCATAGCCTACATGAGTGTGTCAACTCTGCTTTGAATTCAGGAGCAGCACAGCATTGTTGCCACACCATCACTGAAAGCTGCATTAGACAGACTTCACCAACAGGCTCATGAGACATCTGTGGGACTTGCAGGGGAACAAACAGAATACTGCAAAAGCAAATGCAACTCATATTTTTTAATAGAAGGCCAAAGTTCTACTTTAACTGTATCAGCATATGATTTCAGCATAGAAAGCTTTGATTAGGAAAATAAAAAAAAAAAATACGGTTAAGAAAGCCACCCATACCTTAGTGCTTCCAACTGCACACAATACAATATAAAATTGTTTTTTGTTCGCTGCATTGCTCCCTATGGGGTCAATTCACTAAAGATTACCGCATGCGATAACATGGTAATGTAACTCATTTGCATAAATTATCTCATGTGCTAAAGAAATTATCAATTCACACAAAAAATAAATAACTGTTATTTGATATTTAACGCAGAATAAAAAAATATGTGCTGGTAAATATCGCAACCAGGTGTTTGCTGGCAGTATCACATGCAGTATTTTTTCCGATGCAGTGTGGGGATCCCGACCAATCCTTACCAGGTCCTTCAGGTCTGGTATGGATTTTAGGTTGAACCCCATGCCAAAATTTAACAAAAAAAAAAAAAAAAATGGTGTGTTGTCCCTCCAAAATCCATACCACGCCCTTGGGTCTGGTGTGGATTTTGGGGGGACCACCCACACCATTTTTTTTTTTTATTGTCATGGGGTTCCCCAAAATTCTAACCTGACCTAAGGGATGTTTTTTTTTTTTTTTGGTGCGGTTTTTTTTTTTTGTTTTTTTTTTAATTGTTAACTGCTGGCATGTTTTGTGTACATTCAGCTGACAGCTGAGGAGTGATCCGTTGATAAGGACGTGGCGGCTGACTCCCTTGACAACCAGCTATCGTGCGATAAATTACCACTTGAGAAAATGTTGATATTTTACTGCAAGAGTTTAGAAAAATTCTTAGTGAATTTCACATTTGCAAAGATTTACCGCATGCGTTATTTTACTGCATTTTTTCAGTCATTATTTAACTCTTAGTGAATTGACCCCTATGTAATCAGGCAGACTTCAGAAGTTTTCTAAACCCCTCTCACAAATGAAAAAAAACCAAACATGCTGATAGCATACTAAACAAACTAACTATGATTAAAGGTCATTAAACCCAAAACCAAAATAAGTTATACAGGGCAGCTTACCAATCATTAGATGTGGAGGCTGCAATAGTGTTCTTTGTTTAGGCTTTTCCACCTCTGGTTTTACCTGGTGATCTGACCAGTAACACACCTCCTATATTAGCGTGCCCCCACTCTAGATGAAAGAGCATAGGGATACCTTTGGGCAGCAGCACTGTGTCTCTGAGAGCTTCACAGAACAGCTGTATTTATACTGAGATTAAAGTACACATGGCTGGACTCTTTTTACTAATTAAGTGACCTCTGAAGGCAATTGGTTTCACTAGATTTTAGTTACGGGTATCTGAGTAAAGGGGGCTGAATACAAATGCATGCCACACCTATCAGATATCTGTTTGTAAAGAATTTTGAAAAACATTTATCATTTTCCTTCCACTTTACAATTATGTGCCACTTTGTGTTGGTCTATCACATAAAATCCCAATAAATACATTTACGTTTATGGTTGTAACATGATAAAATGTGGAAAATTTCAAGGAGTATGTATACTTTTTCAAGGCACTATAAGAAATGCATGGATAATTTAACCCCCCAGCATCCTTCCAAAGCCGAAATCTAAGTTTGGGAATTTAAATTTAGCATTTACAACAAGTTTACTTTGTGACTCTTTATGTAGAATGTAAACTATCACTGGCAAATATATGGTTAACCACCAAAGCTGCACAGCAAAGCCTAACTATAACTGGGATGTCCACAGAAATACTTACACACTCTGACAAATTTGTATTTCACTGCACAAGGGTTACTAACAGAAGAATGTTAAAAATTCAGACACAACAATGATGTTAATGTGAGATTAAACAAATAATCTTTGTAGTTTGATGTTATCTTTCAGACAGAGATGATTATCGCTTCTTGCTAAAACAAAGCCTGTCTTTCCCTTATGGTGCACATAACAAGGTTTGCTTGGTGAAAGTCATATATAGAAACTCGGCCTAAAGGATAATAAAAAGCAGCAGGTGCATTGGTAGTTGTTTACTAGTATGTACAGATCATTATCCAGCAAAAATTAAGTATTATGATTTGGGTGAACTCGCCCAAAGCAGCATTCCACCATCCACTGGCGCATAAGTCTACAATAAGGTAGATATTTTGGACAAATTATTTTGGCTGACCTGAATAAATTATTGTATTTTTATCATAAATGCTTTTAGTTATAATTTAAAATATTTCTTTAACTGTCAAATAATTTAAAGTGGTTTTAGACCCTTATATATACACTGAGAGAAGTGACAGGCCTCAGGTGATACACAGAGCTTAAACAAATCCTCATACGAGTTGTACCTGTTTATCTGCAGCTGTATGTTCCCTGCATCCATTCAAAGTGAAGAATTTACAGAGGATCTCTCACAACTGAAAACCAGGGCACGGAGAGCTGAAATTACACTCAGTGAGGATTGCTCAGAGCTGATTGGAGGGAAGGGGCACCCCCCCTTCACACAGCACACAAGAACAGAGGTGAATTCGTCAATTAGCTAAAGCTCCCTCCTCTGTCACCATTTTTCTCTTGGTGTCAGGAAAACTCATCAAAAGTGACTCATACGGATAGCAGAGGAACAAGACAGCAGACAGAAATGATGCTCTGTATTGAGACAAGTACACACTATGGAGGGATATGCTTTTTTCATATTTCTTGAAGATTACAACCACTAACAAGAATATGCACTGTTTACATTAGCAATATCAATATAATCATATATATGAATAAATACTAAAATATATTTCTGTATTTCTCCTAATAATACAATTATTTTGTTATATACATTTTAAAGCTATCAGAGCCCTCCCCAAAGTACAGAAATACTGCAATCATATTGAAAAGGCACACAACTGCAAACATAATACAACTCTGAGTATAGAATGATTTCAGTGTGTGCCCTCTGAAACACTTACTCTGGACGGTACACAGGTAACCAATAGACTAATCTTCCTCCTATAACAAGAAACTCGGCTGCAAAGCTCAACAGGTCCAGGAAGATATCACTCAGATGATAATTTAATTGAACAGGAACGTGACATTCAGGGCTGAAAGACACAGCATTTGTTGTGTAGTATTTTAGTATAATACAAATATTTACATATACGTTTGTATAGCATGTTAAGAAAAACTTGCATGAAGTGATTTTTTTTTTTTTTTTAATTTAAATGTTTATTGATTTTCAAAATATTAGGAAATTTAAAATCCACAATATAAATTCTCTACATTCATATAACAACAATATCTAATTTAAATATTCATTTCCCATATTTTCCTTATTTCTCCCAACCCCCCCACTAGCAAATCCAAAGTCACCCCCCCCTCCCTAACCTCCCACCCAACCCTACATCTACCACTCTTTGGCAAGAGAAAAAGAGGCTCTAAATTGTGCTCTCACCATAAGGGGGCAGGAAAAAGAGAGGCCTTATCCTTGTCCATTCACCCTTGATCTAAACTCTTCCCATTTTTCCCCATTTTGCCTGATATATCCCCATACCATCTTCCTGGGTATAAAAACAGTTTCTCTAATCTTACAATATAGTCCATTCTAACTATCCAGTCTTGTTTTTTTGGAGCTTCTACTTGACGCCAAAATTTTGGAATCAATCCCTTGGCTGCATTTAGAAAATACCATGTTCCTGATTCTTTATATTTATTTACTGTTATTTCTGTATTATGTAAAAGGCAGGTTCCAGGGTCCAGACTAATATCAATTTCCGTAATCTTTCTAATTTGGTGTACCACTTCTCTCCAGAATATTTGTATCTTTGGACATTCCCACCATATGTGATAAAACGTGCCTATCTCTCCACACCCCCGCCAACAAAAAGGTGATTTCTCTCCACTCATCTTATGTTCTATACTCGGTGTGATATATCCTCTTGTCAAACATTTAAAATTCATTTCCACCTCCCGTGAGCTTATATTCTCGTGAACCAACCTAAATATTCTTTTTTGTTTAACCTCATCTATCTCCACACCCAAATCTCTTTCCCATTTTTCTATATGCATTAGTTTTTTTCCACCTATATCTAACTCAGTGAGAATTTTATATATCCTTGCCGTACCGTGTTTGCCATCACCTCGTGATCCCAACAACTTCTCAAACAAATTCCAATCTATAATCGCTCTCAAAGGCTTAGGCAATTTCCCCACAAAACATTTTAATTGATTATATCTCCAACCATCTATCCTAGTGAAAATGATGAAATGATTTAGTACTACAACCTGTATATAGCTTCCAGTATATCTACAAAACAAAAATACAGCACATTTTTGTTCAGATTCAAACTGAATTTTCTTCTGAAGGAGTTGGGTACAGTCCATGACATTGCAGCTGCTAAAATTGAGCATAAACCCTATAACCATATAGGCAATCACACATTTGTATGCAATAAGCATTACATTACTGGTTGAACTGTTGAACTATATTAATTTATACTATTCTGCAGAAAAAAAAATATAATTTATTTTTATCTATTTGTACTTTATGTCTCCCTAGGAGCACTGCTCAAGGAAGAGGAGTAAGGAACGTCGGAGGGGACCCAAAAAGAAGAGGATTGGGGCTGCTCTGTGCAAAATCACTGCACAGAGCAGGTAAGTATAGACGTTTGTTATTTTAGTTGAAAAAAAAAACAAGCTTTGTCATCATTTTAACCCATTTGCCATTCAAATATACAGTATATTTGTGCATAGACCTTTGTGTTCCCAGACCATAAAGCAATAAAGTAACTAGCAGACACTAAAAAAGAGGGAGAGGAGGGAGTGAGGAAAAGAAAAAAAAGAGGAGACAAAAAAAAGTAAAGAAAAAAAAAAAGGTGGGGGACCCCTTCCTCATGGACTTTCCATCTCTGTTCCCTATGTTCAAATATGGTGAAATGCTAGGTCCCAGGTACAGTCTCAAAATATCTGACGTACAGAAATTCTTTCAAGCCTCCCATTTGGTTATAAATTTAGGGTAATGCTGCTGTAAGCTCGCTGTCAGCTCCTCCATTGACATAATATAATTTAATTCAGACATCCATTCTTTATTACTAGGTATGACATTAGAATTCTAATTTCTGGGTAGAATAGTCCTCGCTGTGGTAAAAAATAAAGCATGTTAATCTCTTTTTGGCCATCTGTGGTGATCCTGGAAAGATAAAAAGAAAGGCCACTTCCTGTAGTTCAGGTAATCCATGGCCTGAAATATGTATCGTAAATTGAAATGTATCCTTCCAGAATAGTCTCAAATATGAAAACAACCAGCACAGATGTAGCATTGTCCCAAGTTCCTTGTCGCTAACAATATAAGATGGATAATTTGGATAATTGTCCAGCAACCTATGTACATGAGGTCGCTCCCAGTGCTCAGTCCAACTGACTCATTCACAAAGTGAGTGTTTGTGAAACGGCAATCGCTGAGCCGATGTCATTGGCTATTGACCTGGAAAGTGTCCCATGCATAACCCAGTGCTTGAAAGCTCACTTCCAGGCTAGCCACATAGGGGTTTATTTACTAAACCTGGTTGACTCAGAATCTTGGACACCTGTGCATGGTAGCCAATCAGCTTCTAACCTCAGCATGTTCAGTTAAGCTTCAGCAATAAAACCTGGAAGCTGATTGGTTTTTATGCAGAAGTGGACAAGATTCTGAGTCAACCAGGTTTAGTAAATAAACCCCATAATGTCCAATTCAGCAGGGTCTTGGCATGGCATTCCAAAAGGCTGGATGGGGACAGTCGTGCCCTATAGCTGCAATCAGAAAGACCACCTCCAGTAGCAGTGAGTTTAGATTTAAGATAAAATGTTGAAGAAAAAGATTATGCTAGCAAAAACATGTTAGTCTTTTACAAATCAGGCTGAAGAAAATACATTTACAGCTACTGGCAGTGGATTACCTAACTTCGCATGTGCCCCAAGGTGGTTTGTGTGAAGAAAATACCTGTACATCCTTCCGCCTAGGACAAAAGCAAACAACTGAGACATGCTGGTAGCAAGAGAGGTTATCCTGGACTAGCCTACTTTTTTTTGCCAAGGACCAATCCTTCTGTAAGTGACACTATAACCCGAAGTTGAAAGACTCCATATGAGAAAAAGAGAAAGAATGTTCTTGTTTTTCAATCAAGACCTCATTCACATCCATGTGAGGGCTATACTTTGCCTGCATGGCATACATGCAGTCTTGTCTGTGCTAACTGGGATGCAGCCGCTGCTCCCGATTTGACGTTCACATGGCTGCGGGTCCCTGAACACAGATAGTGTGTGTTCGGGGACCCACACCCATGCGAATGTCAAGGCATATAGAATATATGTACAGTATATTAGGATAGGATAGAATAAACATGGTTGCATCAGCAAATGCTAGCTTTGGATGTAAGGTCCTGCAGGTTGTACTGCGATTGTTACAAATGCATTTTTGCCCCCTTTTTGTTGGTGTCCCCTCATTTTGAGATCCCACTTCCTGTGTCTCCAATGAAGACATAAATTCTTCACCTTTGATATATTCTTTTTATGTGGCTGGACACAGTATGGAAAATGTTATACAAGATTGCAATTCCTTGTCCCTATTAAGTCGAGTGCAAGCAACCTAATTACTCCCCACAGCATGCAATAGATAGATTCAAGTGTCATCACTTGTGCAAGAAAGAAAAGCTATTTATAAAGTAGAGGACTTGATGGCTCTGCTTCTCGCTCACATTAGTAATAAAGGCAAAGCTGGGTTAAAATTCAAAGCAGAACAGAGAGAAACAAAGATAATATCATACTAAGCCTATCTCCACTTGTAGACTACACAAACAGTGAAAGGAACCTGCTCATCAGTCTTGGTAATTTAGGGAACTTACTACTGTTCCGTCTTTATGATTTCCTTCTGTGTGCCGGTTTTTCTTGTAGACTCTCGAATGCCATAGGGAGCTACACAAGGAAAGAAGAATTACAATTATTCTGCCAATACAACGTAAGAGGTTTATTTACAAAGCTCAGCTCGATCTTGATTTCTGTCAGACCCTACCGCTCCAATTTTCTCTTTTTCTCTTATTGGAATGCAGTTAAGGTCTTTGATTTTCTGTCAGCATGTGAAGTCAAGGTCATACTTCGGCCAGACATCAGCCCCCACCAGAGACAGGCTCCTTAAACAGTGAATAGCCCCAGCTGTTATACAGACTTATCCCTATTATATCTCCCCAACGCCATTTAATATATGTGACTTCATCAGATAAAAACGTCATTCAAAAGATTGGCTCAGAACAGGTGTGCACAAGACTCATTTATAAATGTTCTACAGTACATAGACCATCATCTGAATTGCTCAGTGAGAACATATGGTCAGGTGCTTAACTGTACCAACACCTTTTTGCTTCCTATAAAAATATTAGCCATTACTAAAGCATACAAAGCAGTCATTTTGGTGAGTATTGTTAATACCAATAGAAGGCCAACATTCTGGTCAAATTTAACTTTCCTGCTATCTAAAGTTTTGATATATCACTTAATTCTCATCTACACAGTTGTTTAGTCCATGTAAAAATATAATACAGTTAAGAGGCTCAGACAGACGGCGTCACAGTATGAAGGGAAACTTACATCAGAGAATTAATAATATAGCCTTAAGTTGCTAGAATTATTACTAAAATAATTTATTGTGTGAGATTTAGAAGACAAATACACCAGGTCTCTGTTTAGTTTCCTATAAAATTATTAAATTCTAAGAGACTTAAGGAATGGCTACCTATTTTTTTGTACTCTATTATGTAAACCTCAAACCTGTAAATAGAGCTCTTTAAGGAACTTGTTCAGTCACTGACTGGAACAAGTATCGAACATGTAAAAAAAAAAAAAAGAGTCCAGACCAAAGTCTATTTTTTATTTTGGATAGTGTGTGGATAGTTTTTAACATTGTAAACTGCAGTAGAAGTCGGCACTTGAAATAAAGTCCAGCAAGAGCATTTTACTAAAGTCCCATTTCAATGATATATTGTAAAATTTTTATATCTATATATATATATATATATATATATATATATATATACATATATACACATACATATACATACATACATACATACATATATATATATATACACACACACATACATACATACATATATACATATACATATATATATATATACATACATACACACACATACACACACACACATATATATACATACACACACATACATACACGCACACACATATAAACATACACACACACCGGCCACCTTATTAGAAAATCTTCCCCACACCACTACCCCACCACCAGCCTGAAACGTTGATACAAGACAGGATGGATCCATGCTGTCATGTTGTTTATGCCAAATTCTGACTCTCCCATCTGAATGTCGCAGCTGTACCAGCCTGCCCATTTTCTCCTCTGAGCTCTGACATCAACAAGGCATTTTTGTCCACACAACTGCTGCTAACAAAATATTTTCTCTTTTTGATGATTGTGTGTGAAAATCCTAGATCAGCAGTTATTGAAATACTCAGACTAACCCGTCTGGCATCAACAACCATGCCACGTTCAAAGTTATTTAAATCCCCTTTCTTCCCCATTCTGATGCTCGGTTTGAACTTCAGCAAGTCGTCTTCACCATGTCTAGATGCCTAAATGCACTGAGTTGCTGCCATGTGATTGGCTGATTAGCAATTTGTGTTACCAAGCAATTGAACAGGTGTACCTAATAAAGTGGTTGGTGATATATATATATATACACACAGTCAGGTCCATAAATATTGGGACATCGACACAATTCTAACATTTTTGGCTCTATACACCACCACAATGGATTTGAAATGAAACAAACAAGATGTGCTTTAACTGCAGACTGTCAGCTTTAATTTGAGGGTATTTACATCCAAATCAGGTGAACGGTGTAGGAATTACAACAGTTTGCATATGTGCCTCCCACTTGTTAAGGGACCAAAAGTAATGGGACAGTTGGCTTCTCAGCTGTTCCATGGCCAGGTGTGTGTTATTCCCTCATTATCCCAATTACAATGAGCAGATAAAAGGTCCAGAGTTCATATCAAGTGTGCTATTTGCATTTGGAATCTGTTGCTGTCAACTCTCAAGATGAGATCCAAAGAGCTGTCACTATCAGTGAAGCAAGCCATCCTTGGGCTGAAAAAACAAAACAAACCCATCAAAGAGATAGCAAAAACATTAGGCGTGGCCAAAACAACTGTTTGGAACATTCCTAAAAAGAAGGAACGCACCGGTGAGCTCAGCAACACCAAAAGACCCGGAAGACCACCGAAAACAACTGTGGTGGATGACCGAAGAATTCTTTCCCTGGTGAAGAAAACACCCTTCACAACAGTTGGCCAGATCAAGAACACTCTCCAGGAGGTAGGTGTATGTTTGTCAAAGTCAACAGTCAAGAGAAGACTTCACCAGAGTGAATACAGAGGGTTCACCACAAGATGGAAACCATTGGTGAGCCTCAAAAACAGGAAGGCCAGATTAGAGTTTTCCAAACAACATCTAAAAAAGCCTTCACAATTCTGGAACAACATCCTATGGACAGATGAGACCAAGATCAACTTGCACCAGAGTGATGGGAAGAGAAGAGTATGGAGAAGGAAAGGAACTGCTCATGATCCTAAGCATACCACCTCATCAGTGAAGCATGGTGGTGGTAGTGTCATGGCGTGGGCATGTATGGCTGCCAATGGAACTGGTTCTCTTGTATTTATTGATTGATGATGTGACTGCCGACAAAAGCAGCAGGATGAATTCTGAAGTGTTTCGGGCAATATTATCTGCTCATATTCAGCCAAATGCTTCACAACTCATTGGACGCCGCTTCACAGTGCAGATGGACAATGACCCAAAGCATACTGCAAAAGCAACCAAAGAGTTTTTTAAGGGAAAGAAGTGGAATGTTATGCAATGGCCAAGTCAATCACGTGACCTGAATCCGATTGAGCATGCATTTCACTTCCTGAAGACAAAACTGAAGGGAAAATGCCCCAAGAACAAGCAGGAAAGCTGAACTGAAGACAGTTGCAGTAGAGGCCTGGCAGAGCATCACCAGGGATGAAACCCAGCGTCTGGTGATGTCTATGCGTTCCAGACTTCAGGCTGCAATTGACTGCAAAGGATTTGCAACCAACTATTAAAAAGTGAAAGTTTGATTTATGATTATTATTCTGTCCCATTACTTTTGGTCCCTTAACAAGTGGGAGGCACATATGCAAACTGTTGTACTTCCTACACCGTTCACCTGATTTGGATGCAAATACCCTCAAATTAAAGCTGACAGTCTGCAGTTAGAGCACATCTTGGTCGTTTCATTTCAAATCCATTGTGGTGGTGTATAGAGCCAAAAATGTTAGAATTGTGTCGATGTCCCAATATTTATGGACCTGACTGTATATTTATACACACACACCAACCAAAGGTTGAGAAACAGTGTTGCAAATGGGAATACCTTCATTATTATTATTATTATTATTATTATTATACAGTATTTATAAAGCGCCAATAGTTCGCTCAGCGCTGTACATTATAAAGGGGGACAGAACATGTGACAGAACAATACAATGCAAAACATGAGGGGATCGAGGGCCGTGCTCTTTCAAGCTTACAATCTAGGAGGGAGGGGATGGTGGCACAGGAGGAGATAGCTGTGGGGGATGGAGTGGTAGGAAGAGTGGAGGAGGTCGGCAAGTTAGCAGGGGGCGGGGTAGGCTTCCCTGAAGAGATGGGTTTTCAGGGTGCGCCTAAAGGAGAGGAGAGTAGGTGATAATCTGATGGGTTGGGGCAGGGAGTTCCAGAGGATGGGTGACACCCTGGAGAAGTCCTGGAGGCGGGCATGGGAGGAGGAGACCAGGGAACTAGAGAGAAGGAGGTCTTGTGAGGAGCGGAGTGTGCGTGTTGGGCGGTACTTGGATATTAGGTCAGAGATGTAGTTCGGGGCAGTATGGTGGACAGCTTTGTACGTCAGCGTTAGGATTTTGAATTTGATCCGTTGCGCAATCGGAAGCCAGTGGAGGGATTGGCAGAGGGGGGTGGCGGAAACGGAGCGGTTGGAAAGGTGAATGAGTCTGGCAGCCGTATTCAGGATGGACTGAAGCGGGGATAGCCAGCGGCGAGGCAGGCCAGTGAGGAGGGAGTTGCAGTAGTCGAGTCGTGATATGATGAGGGAGTGGATGAGCTGTTTAGTGGTTTCTGGAGTTAGGAACGTGCGGATTTTGGCGATGTTGCGGAGGTGGAGTCTGCACGAGTTTGTTAAAGAGTGGACTTGGGGCTGGAAGGATAGGTTGGAGTCCAAAATGACACCAAGTACTCTGGCCTGCGGGGCGGGTTTGATGGTGGCGTTGTTGGACATGATGGAGAAGTCAATGGGGGGTGGTGTCCGGGCTGGAGGGAAGACAAGAAACTCGGTTTTGGAGAGGTTCAGTTTAAGGAAGTGGAGCGACATCCAGTCTGATATGTCGCTCAACAGGTGTGTGATTCGGGTGGAGACCGAGGGGGTGAGGTGGGGGGTTGAGAGATAGATTTGTGTGTCGTCGGCATAGAGGTGGTAGTTGAAGCCGTGAGAGTGTATGAGTTGGCCAAGGGAGGAGGTGTAGATGGAGAAGAGAAGGGGCCCGAGGATCCTTCATAATGTATCATGATCCACACAATCAAACACTTTACTGTAGTCAATGCAGCAAAAGTATATGGTCTTTTGGTATTCTCTGGTCTTCTCTAATATCCCAATTTGGAAATGGATATAGAAAATAACTCACAGAGAGTACAATCATACTTCATATCACATCACCCAATGGTAATAAATGCCATGCTCTACCCAACCTTTGCCACTTTCTTTAAAAATCATCATAAAGTACCCATTCTATTTGCTCATGAATAAGAAATGTATTCTCAGATTTATCAGGTCTCCTTGTACCCAAAGGGGCATGGCAGCATGATGCAACAATGTGGAGGCTTTTGCACACATCATAAATGAGCATACTGACATTTGCAAGCATATTGCTTGAGACTTTAACCATTAGTTGCCCAGGAAAATCTGCCTTAGTCAGATAATCTTGTTCTGTTTATATAAAATATTTTGTGCATAAAACATTACTCTTGATCACTCTATTCTTTGTTTTTTTGTTTTATGCTTAGTCAGACAACCGACACACTGATGGAGCAAGTGTGTACTGTGTTCTTACGGTAATCAGAATTAGGGTTCTGGGATCTACCCTCTGGAGGAGTCTGCGTGGTTGCAAGGGAGCAGCCAGAGGTGTGTGCATCTGCACAGTGCAGTCTGGGACAGGTCAATTAGAAGCCAAAGCCAGAGGGCCAAGGTAGCAGGGAGCTGCAAGTAAAAGAGAGCTGACAGAGGTACAGTGTTTGTACACAAACACAGGGATAATGTATCAGATAGGAGGAACAAGGCACAAGGTCTGAGCAGTGGTGCTGCTAAAGAGAGCCAGGAGGCTGGCCGTTACTGTGTTTTGTGTTATTGGTGGAAACCCCTGTGAGGGCTACTGACTGCTGTGAACTTTTTCCATTGTGTTTATTAAATGTAAGCCAGAAAGTCCTTAAAATATATACAGTTGTGTTCAAAATAATAGCAGTGTGTTGAAAAAAAAGCTCAAAATACTTCTAATAGCTTTTATATCCATACACACAAATGCATTGGGAACACTACACATTCTATTCCAAATCAAAACATGAAGAAAAATATATCAAATTTGTTTTGTTCCTCTAAACAAATTGAAGAAAAGTGAATATTAGACTGTTCAAAAAAATAGCAGTGTTTGTATTCTTCTTTACAAACTCAAACATTCACTATATAAACTGAAAGATGTTTGAAGATTTTGCTTTCCTTTGAATCAATGAATATTTAGTTGTATAAGCACTGTTTCTGAGAACTGCTGTACATCTGTGTTGCATGGAGTCAACCAACTTCTGGCACCTGTGAACAGGTATTCCAGCCCAGGATGATTGGACTACATTCCACAGCTCTTCTCTATTTCTTGGTTTTGCCTCAGAAACTGCATTTTTGATGTCACCCCACAAGTTTTCTATTGAATTAAGATCCGGGGATTGGGCTGGCCACTCCATAACGTCAATCTTGTTGGTCTGGAACCAAGATGTTGCACATTTACTGGTGTGTTTGGGGTCGTTGTCTTGTTGGAACACCCATTTCAAGGGCATTTCCTCTTCAGCATAAGGCAGCATGACCTCTTCAAGTATTCTGATGTATTCAAACTGATCCATGATCCCTGGTATGCGATAAATAGGCCCAACACCGTAGCATGAGAAACATCCCCATATTATGATGCTTGCGCAACCATGCTTCACTGTCTTCACGGTGTACTGTGGCTTGAATTCAGTGTTTGGGGGTCGTCTGACAAACTGTCTCCGGCCACTAAACCCAAAAAGAACAATCTTACTTTCATCAGTCCACAAAATGTTGCGCCATTTCTCTTTAGGCCAGTCAATGTGCGCTTTGGCAAATTGTAGCCTCTTCAGCACGTCTTTTTTTTCAACAGTGGGACTTTACGGGGACTTCTTGCAGATAGCTTGGCTTCACATAGGCGTCTTCTAATTGTAACAGTACTCACGGGTAACCTTAGACCTTTTTAATCAAGGTACGCTGTTCTTCTGAACAATGTCTGGAACGACCCATTTTCCTCAGAATTTCAGAGAGAAATGCACTGTAACCAGCATGTACAACATTTGCTGCCTTCCTTCCTTAAATAAGGGCAATAATTGCCACCTGTTTTTCAAAGAATGAATGACCTCACTAATAGAACTCCACACTCCACATGCATGTCATGACAGAATCAGTAGCATGCTGTTGGGTCTGTTGGATTTCTATTACTCTACTACACCTGCTAGTAAATTATTTGCCATGTAGAAATATAATTTCTACCAAAAACAGTGATTGATCAGGTTAGTGATGTCTGACTGCTATTATTTTGAACACAACTGTATCTGGCATGGACTGGACTCACTGCCAAGCACTACATTTGAGTTAAACATCAACAAATATATAAACACATATACACACACAAGTGTTGTGGATACTGTCCTGTCTGTCAGTTCGATAAAGGGGACCATCACACACCCAAAACATCAATGTTTTTTCTAAAACTGGACTTATTTTTCTATTCAGGCTTTATTTTATTTTGTGTGCTGGCTTTCCCTGCAATTTACAGTCTCTATTACTCATGCACCTGCCCTTATTTATTGCATAAGAAATATGCACTATATAGTATGAGGTCTTTCAGGTTTTGTTCAAATCAGTATTTTTTGAAAAGGAGGTATAGTACAAATAGGATCATCAGTCATAGCATTTAACACACAAGTTCTAATACAAGAATTATTATATATTAGTTGAGTGGACAGACATTGTCGTTAGCACTGATAAAAAAAAAAACCCAAACAATCTTCATCAACTCAGTGACCATAGTATTGAACCTTTTTACGTTTTATATCATTCTTTACAAATAATGAAAGGAATAAGGGGGGGGAGGGGAAGAGGGGTTGAGCAGTATGTCGGGTTTGTATTACTATGTCCCCATTTGGAAGATTTATTTCCTGTCTGACAGGCATCACACAAAACAGGAAGTTCGGGGAAGTCTCCCCTATGGGGGTGTCAATAAAACCTATCTTCTGGGTACCTTTGTTAAAAATTTGTAGCGGTCTAAAACCCTTCCTATGTGACAGGTGTTAGACAAACCTGGATTATAGGAGAATTATCTTCTCTTGGGATACATACAATTTTTACAAATTAATTTTAAAAAATTGGCTATATTTAGACACATGCAGCATTTAAAACTTGGCAAAGTTTCTTACCCACCCCCTCTGTCGAAAAGTAAAAAAACAACAAAGCTTTGGCCAAGTTGGGCATTACGTTTTGGGACACCTGATGTGCGTGCTTGCCTCATGAAAGTCAATGACTCTGAAAGACAACATTTTAGACTTCAACTCAACTAATGAGATTCATTCTGTGATTGTTATAAAGAAGATCAGAAAATGAAATGAAACAGACTATACAGTTCCTCTTCAAATCTCTTAGAAATGAAAATAATGTTGCAGAGGTCTTCTTCCTTTGCCCTCCCTTTCTGAACAAGGTAATGCATGTCTCTCTTGATCCTTATGTTTTTTAGTTTGTATTTTACAGACTTACGGTCTGTGATGATGGCATCAAATAATGGTCCCTTTCTCCAGATGGGCTTGGATGCATCAGACACAAGAATGTCAACATAGTATTTCTCTAAGCCATACTGCCGTAGGTTGGCCTTTATGTTCTCATCGGGCCCACGCCACTTCTGATTCATCCTGGTTGCTTTACCTGGTGAAAACATTAATATTACCATACAGTTCAAGAAAAGGTATTAAAGAATTGTAAACACTTAATGAAAATGCCCGAGAGCAAAAAATGAATAAAAGACATAAACAACCTGTTTTCGAGGACCAGTTGTACCATATTAGCTATGTTCTGTTAATACCAGTATATTCTGAAACATGCAACCATGCTCTTCAAAGCCCTAATGCAATAAATGTTTCCAGCAAGCTTTCCTATAGCTCTGGTAATAATTACTGTGTATGGTTCATGACAAACACTCAAGACTGAAAATTGCACAAAGATTTTTTTCCATACATTAAACAAACAGAAAAAGTGATTATTTAACTGTTGGCTTCATCAGGAATCATGAACCCAACAGCTCGAATCAGCATCATATTTAGAAGCCGTGAACAGAAAAGAAGCACCAATATGTCAGCAGTGGTTAAAGTTGGTAATTTGCTCAATTACAAAACTCTGTGCGAAGACTATAGTTCACATTCTGCAGCACGCAAATACTACTGGTAAACCTGTAAGAATCATGTCCTGGATTATATACCTACTAAAAGAGCGGTCATCTTTGATTAAGAACAGACTGCCAGGTTGGGTGGAGATCTGAGCAAATACGGTGCTGTGAAAAAGTATTTGCCCCCTTCCTGGATTTTTTTTTTTCTGCATATTTGTCACACGAAAATGATTTAGAATATCAAACAAATTTTATTACACAAAGATAACCTGACTAAATAGAAAATGCAGGTTTTAAATTATGATATAATTTATTAAAGCGAAGCTCCACTCTCCACTGACACATTTGGCACTTTTTTGGGGGGTGCGGGTACCTGGTTTTGACAGGAAATCGCTCCCACTTCTTGCTCAGTTTACCATTGACCAAAAGTTCAACCTCTCCTTCCCCACCCACAGTTCTCTTCGGCTCTCTTGTACAAGCAATCGGAGCGGCTACTAGCCGGAGCGTCTGCAAGCTCTCCTTTATTGTACACTGGAAGTGATTTTTGACCTGGCATCACTTACGGCTTACTCGGAAACTTTCGGCACCACTTTTAAAAATCTGAAAGCATTCAAAAACACTGATCTAGGCATTTTGAATGCTGTCAAGTGCAGAGGAGAGATCTGGGGTCTTATAGACCCAAGATAACGCCATAAAAATACCTGTCACTTGTCTACTGCTGTCACAGATGTTTACATTCCTTGTGACAGTGATAAAAAAAAAATTAAAGTGACAGTGTAAAAATTAATATTTGGAAAAAAAAAAAAAAAATTTAATTGCCCCCAACCCCCCCCCCCATCCTCATGCTTGCACGCAAAAGCGAATACACGCATGCAAACAACAATTGTCTTACACATGTGAGGTATCACCACGATCATCAGATCATGGTCAGTAATTCTAGCACTAGAACTCCTCTGTAAATTTAAAGTGGTAACTCGTAAAGGCTTGTAAAGTGTCACCTATGAATAGTAAAATCTACGCTGTTTGTTGCCATTGCACTGGCATTCGCAATTTTAAAGCGTGACATGTTTGGTACCTATTTACTCTCGGAGTAACATCATCTTTTATATGCTACAAAAAATTTAGTTATGTATTGTGTTTTTTTGCAATAAAATAAAAAAAAGTGTATATTTCCCCCAAAAAAATGTGTTTGAAAAACCATTGTGCAAATACCGTGCGACAAAAAAAATGCAAAAAACACCAATTTATTCTCTAGGGCCTCTGCTGTTAGGAAAACTTGGAAACAGTGGTGAACCTTCTCAAGCGTGGCCAGCCTACCAAAATTACTCCAAGAGCACAATGATGACTTATCCAGGAGGTCATAAAAGAACCCAGAACATTATGTAAAGAACTGCAGGCCTCACTTGCCTCAGTTAAGTTCCGTCACGATTCAACAATGCCATCCATAGGAGAGTTCCAAGGAAAAAGCCACTGCTGACCAAAAAGAACACAGACTTGTCTGAGATTTTCAATAAAACATCTTGGTTATCCAAGACTTTTGGGCAAATATTTTGTGGACTGATGAGACAAAAGTTGAACTTTTTGGAAGGTGTGATTCCGGTTATACCTGGTGTAAAACCAATACAGCATTTCATAAAAAAATCTTACCAACAGTCAAACATGGTGGTGGTAGTGTGATGGTCTGGGGATGCTTTGCAGCTTCGGGACCTGGAAAACTTGCCATAATTTCTGTAACCATGAATTCTGCACTCTACCAGAGAATCCCGAAGGAGAATGTCTGGCCATCAGCTCGTGACTTTTAAGCTTAAGCACACCTGGGTTATGCAGCAGGGGGTTTATGTGGCAATTACTTGTTCACATAGGGCTAAGTGGGTTTGGACAGCTTTTTTCCATTAAAAAAATGAAATCATTATTTAAAAACTGCATTTTGTTTTTACTTGGGTTATCTTTGTGTAATATTAAATTTTGTTTGGTGATCTGAATCATTTACATGGCTTTGAAAAAGTTATTCATAATTTTTCACATTTTGTCATGTTACAACCAAAAACACATAATGTGTTTTATTGGGATTTTATGTGACAGACCAACACAAAGTGGCACATAATTGTGAAATGGAAGGAAAATGATAAATGGTTTTCAAATTTTTTTACAAATAAATATGTGAAAAGTGTAGCGTGCATTTATATTCAGCCCTCCAAGTCAATACTTTGTAGAACCACCTTTCGCTGCAATTACAGCTACAAGTCTTTTTGGGTATGTCTCTACCAGCTTTGCACATCCAGAGAGTAAATTTTTTATTCTCGATTGGATTAAGATCTGGACTTTGACGGGGCCATTCTAACACATGAATATACTTTGATCTAAACTATTCCTTTGAAGCTCTGGCTGTATGTTTAGGGTCGTGGTCCTGCTGGAAGGTGAACTTCCGCCCCAGTCTCAAGTTGTTTGCAGACTCTAACAGGATTTCTTCTAAGATTGCCCTGTATTTGGCTCCATCCATCTTCCAATCAATTCTGACCAGCTTCCCTGTCCCTGCTGAAGAAAAGCATCCCCCACAACTTGATGCTGCCACCACCATGTTGCACAGTGGGGATGGTGTGTTTAGGGTGATGTGCAGGATTAGTTTTCTGCCACACATAACGAAAGTTCAATTTTGTTCTCATCTGACCAGAGCACCTTCTTCCACGTTTGCTGTGTCCCCCACATGGATTCTCGCAAATTGCAAATGGGACTTCTTATGGCTTTCTTTCAACAATGGCTTTCTTCTTGCCACTCTTCCATAAAGGCCAGATTTGAGGAGTGTATGACTAATAGTTGTCCTGTGGACAGATTATCCCACCTGAGCTGTAGGTCTGTGCAGCTCCTCCAGAGTTACTATGGGCCTCTTGGCTGCTTCTCTGATTAATGCTCTCCTTGCCCGGCCTGTCAGTTTAGGTGGACGGCCATGTCTTGGTAGGTTTGCAGTTGTGCCATACTCTTTCCATTTTCAGATGATAGATTGAATAGTGCTCTGTCAGATGTTCAAATCTTGGGATTTTTTTTATAACCTATTCCTGCTTTAAACCTCTCCACAACTTTATACCTGACCTGTCTGGTGTGTTCCTTGGTCTTCATGATGCTGTTTGTTCACTCATGTTCTATAACAAACCTCTGAGGGCTTCACAGAACAGCTGTATTTGTACGGAGTTTACATTATGCACAGGTGGACTCTATTAACCACTTTCCGTCCGGCCCATGTATATAAACGGCTGGACGGGAGCAGTGCAGGGGCGGGTGGCCGTTTATAAACGGCCCCCCTGCTCCCTGCTTGTGCGCGCTCCCTGGGACTCCCCTACTCCCTCCCACCGCTATCCGGTGCCCACTGTGTCCTCCGGACACAGTGGAACACCGATCATTGTACAGGACCTCTGTGTGAGGTCCCGATCATGTGATCACTGATTGGCCAATTAGTGATCACATGAAGAGTAGTAAGCAAGATGTCACTTCTAACATCATTGCTTACTACGTGTGAAATCTGTGAAAGATCACAGAGGTCACATGGTACAAGGCTATTCACAACAGCCTTGTACCATGTGACAAGCTGTGACCAACCACAGCTCACACAGTATTTCTCAGTGGTTGCAAAAATGCAGCCAGAGAGAAGGAGAAATGATTGCCTTTACAGCCTTCATGGGTATAAAGCAATCAGTGAAAAAAAAAAAAAAAAAAAAATTCTTCATAACCCCCCCCCCCCCCCACAAGTAGTACAGTGTCACTATGCTGACACTGTACTGCTAGGGTGACAGTATGTAAAAAAAAAACAAAAAAAAAACATAATATAAGAATATACAAAAATAAAATAAAAATGTAAAAAAAAAAAAAAAAATATAAATTTTTGGTTATAAATTAATTTGGGTTATTTGTTTTTTACTAACTGAATACATTTTGGCCAAGATTTATGAAGAAAGAATGTCTATTTGCTAATTTTTTTTTCAAAATTATTTTAATTTTTCATTTATATAGCAAAAAAAATAAAAATCCCAGTGGTGAATAAATACCACCAAAATAAAGTTTCCATGTTGCATCGGTCTCAAAAAAATGCTAAAAAATTCATATGGGTACAGTGTTGCATGACCGCGCAATTGTCATTCAAAGTGTGATAGCGCTGAAAGCTGAAAATTGGCCTGGACAGGAAGGGGGTGAAAATGTCCGGACTTGAAGTGGTTAACCACTTGCCTACCAGGCACTTATACCCCCTTCCTTACCAGGCCAATTTTCAGCTTTCAGCGCTGCCGCACTTTGATTGACAATTGCGCGGTCATGCAACATTGTACCCATATGAAATTTTGATCATTTTTTTCTCACAAATAGAGCTTTCTTTTGGTGGTATTTAATTGCCACTGGGCGCTTTACTTTTTGCGCTATAAATAAAAAAAGTGCAAAAAATTTGAAAAAAAAAATTTTTTCTTTGTTTCTATTATAAAATTTTTCAAACAGGTATTTTTTCTCCTTCACTGATGTGCGTTGATGAGGCAGCACTGATGAGCACTGATAGGCGGCACTG